TCTCTTCCGCAGGCTAAACAATCCCAGCTCCCTCAGCCTCTTCTCATAACTCATGTGTTCCAGACCCCTAATCATTTTTGTTGCCCTTCGCTGGACTCTCTCCAATTTATCCACATCCTTCTTGAAGTGTGGGCCCAAAACTGGACACAGTACTCCAGATGAGGCCTCACCAATGTCGAATAGAGGGGAACGATCACGTCCCTCGATCTGCTCGCTATGCCCCTACTTATACATCCCAAAATGCCATTGGCCTTCTTGGCAACAAGGGCACACTGCTGACTCAGATCCAGCTTCTCGTCCACTGTCACCCCTAGGTCCTTTTCCGCAGAACTGCTGCCTAGCCATTCGGTCCCTAGTCTGTAGCTGTGCATTGGGTTCTTCCGTCCTAAGTGCAGGACCCTGCACTTATCCTTATTGAACCTCATCAGATTTCTTTTGGCCCAATCCTCCAATTTGTCTAGGTCCTTCTGTATCCTATCCCTCCCCTCCAGCGTATCTACCACTCCTCCCAGTTTAGTATCATCCGCAAATTTGCTGAGAGTGCAATCCACACCATCCTCCAGATCATTTATGAAGATATTGAACAAAACCGGCCCCAGGACCGACCCTTGGGGCACTCCACTTGATACCGGCTGCCAACTAGACATGGAGCCATTGATCACTACCCGTTGAGCCCGACAATCTAGCCAGCTTTCTACCCACCTTATAGTGCATTCTTCCAGCCCATACTTCCTTAACTTGCTGACAAGAATACTGTGGGAGACCGTGTCAAAAGCTTTGCTAAAGTCAAGAAACAATACATCCACTGCTTTCCCTTCATCCACAGAACCAGTAATCTCATCATAAAAGGCGATTAGATTAGTCAGGCATGACCTTCCCTTGGTGAATCCATGCTGGCTGTTCCTGATCACTTTCCTCTCATGCAAGTGCTTCAGGATTGATTCTTTGAGGATATAGCTGAGGACTACTTAAACCCTGCTACAGGAGGGTTACCTCCCTTCCATTACTCTCATTAGCGCTCACTATGACAGTTCTGGATATTTTGCTTACCTGTATCAATGTCTAATTCTCTACCGAACATTTCCAAGTTCTTGGCCTCAACATCTTCCAGTGGCAGAGAGTTCCACAGGTCAGTTACACATTGTGTGAACAAGTGTTTCCTTTGATCAGGTTTTGAATTGAATTGAACTGACTTGAATGTCCTCTTGTTCACGCACTAGCTGCCATGGACAAGAGATGTTCTGGATGTCCCTCAGACTAGTCAGTATTTGATAGACTATCATGTCTCCTCTCTAAGATAACAATCCCCATCTTCTCAACCGCTCTTCATAGGAGAGTTTCTCCAGGCCCTGGGTCTTTCCCATTGCCTTTCTTTGGGCCCCTCTAATTCTGCGCTATCCTTTCAGAGACGGGGTGCCCAGTGCTGTACAGGATCCAGATGAGGCCGCACCAGAATTAGAATGTTCTCTGCCACATTCCTTATGCAGCTGAACACACCTTGCTCTTCTGACAACAGCTGCCCATTGAGCAGAGGTCTCCATGGCACTGTCTCTAATGGCACCCAGCTCCTATCCCCGAGCTGACAGTTAAGTCAGGCTTGCTGGGAGTAATCCCCTCCAGTATATGTTACTTTGCTTTCAGCACACTAAGTATAGTTTGCCACTGGGCTGCCCGTTCCCGTGGATTGTTTCAGTCCCTCTGGACTCAACTAACAAAGAACTGGGCCATCTCCAAGTTTAGCCACCCCACTGCACTCCCCTCATGGTTCCCACTGGTAGACAGCCCCTTCTGTAACCAATACCCCTTTGGGGATTTTCCTGATTGCACCTTGCTAGCCCAACTCCCCACCCCTGCAGAGACAACCCCTGCCCCCTACCAGCTAGCTGAGGAGCACTGTGCCATAGCTAATGGAGCAGGTTTGTCTGTTCTGCCCTCAACTCGCTCCTTCCTTCTGGGGCACAGAGGAGAATGAACACAGCGTTCCAGGTATGCGGTCAGTCTTACGGCAGAGAGCTGCTGCCTCTATGCAAGGACACCTCAGGGGGTGGATTACAGTGACTGCATTTTGCTCACTGCCCTGCCGCATGGCAATCTCCTGTCTGATCTGCTGGCCACTGCCCCCAAGGGCATCTATACACTCCTGCTCCAACGATGAGGTTTAACTCAGATGTGCACTGTTGAGGGGCTGGGGGGGGGTGCTTGCCTCACTGCTTGGAATCTGATGCCTGCCCCTCAAGCATTAGCGGTGTCCATGGCCGGGGTTGCTGCTCCCCTTTCTTTCTGACAACCAGCGAGGGGGAGAAAGAGGGGGTCCGAGAAGGGGCCTGCCGAGGTTCCACAGCTTGGGAGCCTTGCTGATTTCCACGTCAGAACTGCTTGGTTCACATAAGGACAGAGATGGGTTTTATCAAGTGGCAGCCCATAGCCTTGCTGGCTGTCAAGAGTCGAGCTGGGATCTCATGTGTCCCTTTCTAGAGGCCCTGCTGGGCCCCTGCTTACCCGTAATACCACGCTCTTCATGCTGCCCTCCCAGAGTGAGCATGGGTCTGATTGCAGGCACAAACAAAAGTCTTTGCCCCTCCCTCTGGCTGTCAGGTCCAGCAACCTGAGCAGGGGCAGGAGCTGCGGAGGCCGGGGCAGGGAGGTGATCCCGGAGCTCACTCCAGTGCCGAGTCCTTTCCAAGGACAGAGCTGCCAGCAACAACAAGCAGTTCTGTGAAGTCTGTGGGAGAGCGAAGCCTGTTCGCATTTGCAAAGCAGAAAAGGCCACCAATTAGTGACCTTGTGCTGAACACTTGGCACAGTCATGCTCAGGGCTGTGTGACTGGTGCAGGGATCGTGGGATATAGGATATAATTAGATGCATTTGTGTACATCTCTGAGTCCTTGAAAGAAGGATCAGAGCAAGTCTGGCTGCAGGGCTGAGTGGCCCAGCCAGATGGGGCTCGGCTCTCTGCAAAACCAGGGACTAACCTGTTCCACATGCACAGAGGGAAAGCGGGATGCGCAGGATGGGGACCAGAGGCTCCCAGCAGGGGACGAGGCAGAGCTGGAGGCAGAAGGTGTTCGGGGAGAATGCACGTGCATTTACAAACAAATGCAAGTGGATCTTAGCTACCTCACCTGGACATGGGCCGAGCTCTTGGCAGGAAGCACACACACACCCAGAACCTGCAGGACATGCATTCACCCTGTACCATGGCCTCTGGGCGTTCTGAGACAAGAAGTGGGAGAGGGTGTCCTGCCTGCCAGGACCACGCTGCTCCCCTTCCCTGGACAGGGCTTGTCCATGCTGTTGGCCTCATAAATATGGCCATGAGCACAGCAGTGTGCTAGGGCACAGCACAGCCTGAAAGGGGGCAACAACTGTGGCTGACGACACTCAACCACCTGGCCAGTGAAATCACTAATGAATTTGCCAGCACCTTCCCCACAGTAAGCTCCATGCATGGTGATTTCAGTGGGCACCTAGTTTAGAGGTCCCTTTGCTCACAGGCTGCTGCACTGGACTACAGGCATTTGTGTCATTTCCTTATACCACAGAGACACAAGGACAGCAAGGATTCGACCCCTTCCCTTCCTGACACGGGGCAGGAGCAGGACACTGGGAGCTGCTGCCAGCTATGTCTGGGATCTCCATAGCCCCCAGGTATCCCTCCAGCCCCTGCCTACCTCACACACAGCCAATACAAACCCTCTTCCAACCAAAACACCCCTGGGAGAGCTGGCCCTGCCTCGCAGCAATGCTGGCCAGGATGGGGACTGGAGAGAAGGGGCCATGCCAGGACCCGTGGCTGATGTGAGGCAAGGCAAGTGCCAGGCCCCCGCCTGCCCAGGTGAGCTCAATCTACATGCACCCAGTGCTGGAACAACATGCCACCAGGCAGTAATCTTACTGCCACCTCTCTGGAGGCCTCTGCACAGGGTTTGAGCCTGTCCCCCATTCCTGCGACCAATGTGGGAGCTGAACGTATGCAAGGCACATGGTGGGCGAGTCCCCGGGCCTGGCAGCACACATGGAGCCTAGAAGGGCACCTTACCACCCTGGCACTAAGCAGCCGTCACCCCAGAGCCAACTGAGGGAGGCAGAAGGTTGCATATAGAAAAGTTGAGAGTCGCATGGTGCCACCCTGCCATTTCCTACAGTAACAGCACATCAAGGCTTTGGGATCCTGGAAGGCAGCGCTGTTCTCTTGACTCACCTAGGCTCCTTCTCAGCAGCACACAGGGCTGAGTCTCCTGCCAGGACACCCTAAGAGCAGCCAGCTTAGAAAGACAGGTAGCGCAGTGGGTAGGGGACTAACCTGGGATGCAGGAGACCAGAGTTCCATTCCCTACTCTGCAACTGGCTCCCTGGTTTCACCAAGTCTGTCTGGCCATCAGCTGCCAGCTGTAGAGCGGGGATAGGAGCCCTGCTCTGCCCCAGAGGGGAGCTGGAGTGGCCCCCAGACACAATGGAGATGAGGGCCGCGTAAGTATCTTACACAGCTGGCACTAGAGGTGTGCACATGTGGGTGCAGCCCTGCCTGAGGGCTAAACTGCCACCAGTAAAAAGAAAGGCAACAGCACAGACAGCAGCACGGTGGAGGTGAGGCACCAGCAGGCTGGGCAGGTGTCCGCTTACAGCTGCCATGGGACGCAGGCCAATATGAAAGGGAGTGGGGCATACAGAGCAGTGGGGGCGCTGCGGCAGGAGGACAGCAGGGCTAGTTCTGTGCTCAAGGGAGCACGCCTGCCCCCTCCACGGCTAGACAGGCCTAGGAGATGGAAGTGGTCCCAGCTGAGCCGAGGCAGGGCAGAGCAGCAGTTGGGCCAGTACATAGGGAGTTAAGTGAACTTGGTGTCCAACCCACCTTGTGGGGCAGATACGTGGACCCTAGTGACCAGCACACACCTGGCGGGGATTCCCATCCCCAAGCTCTGAAGGGCTGAGTCCATCCCCAGCTACACCACAGCACAGCCTCTCGGCGACACTGCCTCTCGCAGGAGGAGTCACTCACCCTTGGAAGTCAGTGTCCATGAGGAGTCGGACCAGAATCCCTGTCACAGCCACAAGGATTGGATAATGATCCACGCTCTCTAGCCCTGGGGGACAGAGCAGAGCCAGAGCAATGACCATGGCTGGGAAGGCCAGGCCATACCCCATCCCCGCACCTGCCCGGCTCTTTACCCTCAGCCTGGCAGCTGTACGTCTCTTTGCAGCAGCCCACCTCAGCTACACCCATGGCCGCGCTGGGGGAGCCCTGGGCCAGAGGCACGACCTCCTCCTCCCCCAAACCCCATAAGCACCTTTCACATGGCCTTGGTCGCAGGCATCTCCCCATGGCCAGCACTGACTTGACTTCTCCAAAGCTTCAGGAAAGAGGGGCTCCCTGCCACCCTGGGGCTGATGCCTTGCCCTGGTGTGGTACAGGGGGGCTGACTGGAGCTCCCCCTAGCAGCCTTCCCACGGGGAGTGTAGCTGAGCTGTGCCTCAAGGGAAGAGGAGACATTGATGAGATAATCATTCTCCGAAGAGAGACAGGCTGACTTAGCAGCGCCACGTGGCCCAAGGGCTCTGCTAGCAGCATGACTGTTAATCTGCTGGCTGTGCTTCAGCCATCCCCTGGCAATGCAAGCAGGGAGATGGCCTGTGGTGCAGGGACAGCAGGTGGCTGCTAGCACAGCACTGTCCTTCCCCAAACCTTGCCACACAGCCCAAGGACATACTCAGCAACGCGTAACTAGACAAGGACTTCTGCCTGTGCCAGGGAAGGGCATGCAGGGAGATCAGGCTCCATTCTACAGGCACCTCCCATCCGAGATCCCAGCATCCTTTCCAGTTCCCTAGAGTGCCCCAGAGCAGGCATGGAACATGGCAGCAGTTTAACAGCTGCTCAGAGTTTGGTGCCTAAAGACCCCAGAGGCCAGGACCTGAGGGGAAGTGAGGGAAGCGGAGAGACTTGCGGCAGGACATAGGGTCTCATGGAAAGAGCCAGGGAACCAGGAGTGAGCACAATGGTCAGGACCCCTGTTTACATCTCCTACAGCCTGCCCTGCAAGCATTTTAGCATCGCCAGTGGTTGGGGTGGCAGGTCACCCTTCTGTTGGACTCAGAAAAAGAATGCCCCCTGCTATATCCCCAGCCCACAGGATTCCCGGCCCTGAGGTTCCCAGCCACATGGCCCAGCACCCAGTGACAGCCCCAGAAGATCACAGACAGGGCCTGTCTCTGCAAAGCACCCACACAGCCACATTGCTCCGCTGGCGAGGGGGAGCACCTGAATCCCCTGGGCCCTCTATGCAGCCACCAGTGAGTTCCTGACGGGCAAGGAGACAGCCAGACTCTAAGAAGAAGGATAAAGGAGTTTGAGGCACAAGTGGTGTTCTTGTCCATCCTCCCTATGGAAGGAAAAGGCCCAGGTAGAGACCGTTGAATCATGCAAGTCAATGAATGGCTATGCAGGTGGTGTCGGAGAGAAGGCTTTGGATTCTTTGACCATTGGATAGTGTTCCAAGAAGGAGGAGTGCTAGGCAGAGATGGGCTCCACCTAACGAAGAGAGGGAAGAGCATCTTCGCAAGCAGGCTGGCTAACCTAGTGAGGAGCGCTTTAAACTAGATTCACTGGAGGAAGGAGACCAAAGCCCTGAGGTAAGTGGGATACCAGGAGGAAGCAAGAGCAGGAGAGCCCAAGAGGGGAGGGCTCCTGCCTCATATTGAGAAAGCGGGACGATCAGCGAGTTATCTCAAGTGCCTATACAGAAATGCAAGAAGCCTGGGAAACAAGCAGGGAGAACTCGAAGTCCTGGCACAGTCAAGGAATTATGATGTGATTGGAATAACGGAGACTTGGTGGGATAACTCACATGACTGGAGTACTGTCATGGATGGATATAAACTGTTCAGGAAGGACAGGCAGGGCAGAAAAGGTAGGGGAGTTGCATTGTATGTAAGAGAGCAGTATGACTCTCCGGTATGAAACTGCAAAAAAAACCCGAGTGTCTCTGGATTAAGTTTAGAAGTGTGAGCAACAAGGGTGATGTCGTGGTGGGAGTCTGCTATAGACCACCGGATCAGGGGGGTGAGGTGGACGAGGCTTTCTTCTGGCAACTAATGCAAGTTACTAGATTGCAGGCCCTGGTTCTCATGGGAGACTTCAATCACCCTGATATCTGCTGGGAGAACAATGCAGCGGTGCACAAACAATCCAGGAAGTTTTTGGAAAGGGTAGGGGACAATTTCCTGGTGCAAGTGCTGGAGGAACCAACTAGGGGCAGAGCTCTTCTTGACCTGCTGCTCACAAACTGGGAAGAATTAGTAGGGGAAGCAAAAATGGATGGGAACCTGGGAGGCAGTGACCATGAAATGGTCGAGTTCAGGATCCTGACACAAGGAAGAAAGGAGAGCAGCAGAATACAGACCCTGGACTTCAGAAAAGCGGACTTTGACTCCCTCAGGGAACAGATGGGCAGGATCCCCTGGGAGAATAACATGAGGGGGAAAGGAGTCCAGGAGACCTGGCTGTATTTTAAAGAATCCTTATTGAGGTTACAGGAACAAACCATCCCAATGCGTAGAAAGAATAGTAAATATGGCAGGCGACCAGCTTGCCTTAACAGTGAAATCCTTGCTGATCTTAAACACAAAAAAGAAGCTTACAAGAAGTGGAAGATTGGACAAATGACCAGGGAAGAGTATGAAAATATTGCTCGGGCATGCAGGAGTGAAATCAGGAGGGCCAAATCACACCTGGAGTTGCAGCTAGCAAGAGATGTTAAGAGTAACAAGAAGGGTTTCTTCAGGTATGTTAGCAACAAGAAGAAAGTCAAGGAAAGTGTGGGCCCCTTACTGAATGAGGGAGGCAACCTACAGACAGAGGATGTGGAAAAAGCTAATGTACTCAATGCTTTTTTTGCCTCTGTCTTCACGAACAAGGTCAGCTCCCAGACTACTGCACTGGGCAGCACAGCATGGGGAGGAGGTGACCAGCCCTCTGTGGAGAAAGAAGTGATTCGGGACTACTTAGAAAAGCTGGACAAGCACAAGTCCATGGGGCCGGATGCGCAGCATCAGAGAGTGCTAAAGGAGTTGGCGGATGTGATTGCAGAGCCATTGGCCATTATCTTTGAAAACTCATGGCGATCGGGGGAGGTCCCAGATGACTGGAAAAAGGCTAATATAGTGCCCATCTTTAAAAAAGGGAAGGAGGAGGATCCTGGGAACTACAGGCCAGTCAGCCTCACCTCAGTCCCTGGAAAAATCATGGAGCAGGTCCTCAAGGAATCAATTCTGAAGCACTTAGAGGAGAAGAAAGTGATCAGGAACAGTCAGCATGGATTCACCAAGGGAAAGTCATGCCTGACTAATCTAATTGCCTTTATGACGAGATAACGGGCTCTGTGGATGAAGGGAAAGCGATGGACATGTTGTTCCTTGACTTTAGCAAAGCTTTTGACATGGTCTCCCACAGTATTCTTGCCAGCAAGTTAAAGAAGTATGGGCTGGATGAATGGACTATAAGGTGGATAGAAAGCTGGCTAGATTGTCGGGCTCAACGGGTAGTGATCAATGGCTTCATGTCTAGTTGGCAGCCGGTATTAAGTGGAATGTCCCAAGGGTCGGTCCTGGGGCCGGTTTTGTTCAATATCTTCATAAATGATCTGGAGGATGGCATGGACTGCACCCTCAGCAAGTTTGCAGATGACACTAAACTGGGAGGAGAGGTAGATACGCTGGAGGGTAGGGATAGGATACAGAGGGACCTAGACAAATTGGAGGATTGGGCCAAAAGAAATCTGATGAGGTTCAAGAAGGACAAGTGCAGAGTCCTGCACTTAGGAAGGAAGAATCCCATGCACTGCTACAGACTAGGGACCAAATGACTAGGGAGCAGTTCTGCAGAAAAAGACCTAGGGATTACAGTGGATGAGAAGCTGGATATGAGTCAGAAGTGTGTCCTTGTTGCTAAGAAGGCCAATGGCATTTTGGGATGTATAAGAAGGGGCATTGCCAGCAGATCGAGGGACGTGATCGTCCCCCTCTATTCGACATTGGTGAGGCCTCATCTGGAGTACTGTGTCCAGTTTTGGGCCCCACACTACATGAAGGATGTGGAAAAATTGGAAAACGTCCAGCGGAGGGCAACAAAAATGATTAGGGGACTGGAGCACATGACTTATGAGGAGAGGCTGAGGGAACTGGGATTATTTAGTCTGCAGAAGAGAAGAATGAGGGGGGATTTGATAGCTGCTTTCAACTACCTGAAAGGGGGTTCCAAAGAGGATGGCTCTAGACTGTTCTCAGTGGTAGCAGATGACAGAACAAGGAGTAATGGTCTCAAGTTGCAGTGGGGGAGATTTAGGTTGGATATTAGGAAAAACTTTTTCACTAGGAGGGTGGTGAAACACTGGAATGCATTACCTAGGGAGGTGGTGGAATCTCCTTCCTTAGAAGTTTTTAAGGTCAGGCTTGACAAAGCCCTGGCTGGGATGATTTGGTTGGGGATCAGTCCTGCTTTGAGCAGGGGGTTGGACCGGATGACCTCCTGAGGTCCCTTCCAACCCTGATATTCTGTGATTCTAAAGGTGACTTACCTGGCAGCCGGAGGTTCACCACTCTGTCGAACAGGTTCCGCTCGGCTGTCACGCGATTCAGCACCTGGTTCAACAGCTGTGCGGGGACAGGAGAGATGTCAGGAGAGACTGTTCCTATCTCTCAGACAGGGCGCCTGCCTGAGCAGGACGGAGCAGCCCCTTTCCAGCCATCAGCCCCAGCCCCAAGTGGGTTCATTGCCCTCAGAGAGCACACCTGCCCCATGCGGGGCCTTCCCAGGAGATTGCCCCTCTTCTTCTAGCTGCTCCTGAACCTCCCACCAGCTGGACAAAGAGGCATCTGGCTGAGCACGTCCCATGGATTGCTAAGGATCCACTCCACAGAGCATGACAACAGCAGACTGCAGCCCTCCCATCCCTACCAGGGCAATGCCTGGGGGAACTGCAGCTCCCAGCACTCAGCATTCCATTAGGAGTGGACAGTGCAGCTGCATTGCATGAGATGGCAGCAGCACTGCAACACTCCTTCTGTGGGAGCATGCTGACTCCCAGCAGGCTACACACACATCAGCAGTGCATGCAGTGCTGGTAGCCCCTGGTGCGCAATGGGCCATAACCTGCAGCGATAAGAGGCTGAACATGTGGGCAGTCACACTGGCTGCATTCCAGGCTGCCGTCAGTATGGAGAAAGCTCTCACCAAGGAGAAGCTACAGTCACAGGCCACATCACGGCCAATGGCAGAACTGATCAGAGTGGGCCAACCAAGAGCCAGCTATGAGCAGGGCTGGGTGCAGGCGCTTGCTGGCTAACAGCTGCCAATGGCCCAAGGAGCTCTCTGCTGAGCCCAGGACCTAGCAGGACTAGGACTGCTGGTCTCCAAACACAGCAAGGAAACAGCTCAGGCCCAGGAGGCTGCTGGGCAATCACATACAGTAACTCCTCACTTAAAGTCATCCCAGTCAACATTGTTTTGTTGCTGATCAATTAGGGAACAAGCTCGTTTAAAGTTGCGCAATGCTCCCTTATAACGTTGTTTGGCAGCTGCCTACTTTGTCCACTGCTTGCAGAAAGAGCAGCCCATTGGAGCTAGCTGGTGGGAGCTTGGAACCAGGGTGGACTGGGAGCCCCCACATCAGCTCCTCTAAGTTCCCTGTGCGGGGGTAGCCGCCCTGCAGGCTATCAATTGCTGGGCAGTTCAGCTGTCCCTTCCCGCTCTGCCTTGGAGCTGCTCCCGCCTTCTGCCTTGGAGCTGCTCCCTGGAGCCTCCTGCTTGCTGGGCAGGGCAGGGAGAAGAGGGGTGCTAAAGTTAGGGTGTCCCCCGCTCCTTTACCCCATCAGGCCATCTCCACAGAGCAGGAGGGGACACGACAGAGCTCAGAACGAGGGAGCTTGCTGGCAGCAGCTGCTGTCTCAACTTCCTGATCTACTTAAAAAGGCAGCATACTTAGAGTGGGGTCAGTGTACTTAAAGGGGCAATGTGCATCTCTCTCTCGCTCACGCAGGGAGTGTGTCTCTGTCTGCCATGCTGTCTCCCCTCCTTCCATTTGTGCTGCTGCCTTGTAGAGTGTGAGGCTACATTAACAATGTGTTAACCCTTGAGGGCTCAGCCAAATGCTAGTTCATCATTTATCAGTAAAGCATTCCTTGGGAAATATCCCAACCTCTTCCACCCTCTGACTTCACCACCTCAACCAAGTTTCACAATCATCATTGCTGTGTACAGTATTAAATTTTTTAAAACTTAATAGTGTGTATGTGTATATATATTATATATATAAAAAAATATACAGTCTTTTGTCTGGTGAAAAAAATTTCCCTGGAACCTAACCCTGCCTATTTACATTAATTCTTAAGGGGAAATTAGATTCACTTAAAGTATCATTTTTCAGGAACATAACTACAATGTTAAGTGAGGAGTTAGTGTACAACGAAGCTCCACCCAGACGAGCAGCAGGCTTCTGCCTCGCCTGGCAGTGAAACTGAATGTTGTTAGGCTCCAGGGTGAACCCCACACTGGGACAGCTGAGGCTCTGGGCGTGCCCTTTCCAGCACAGAGCCCACCTCAGCTCACTTGGCACGCTTGCTCTGCCACCATCATGGCTACTCTTCTTTCAGCTGAAGGCAAATCCCTGGTGCAGTCAAGTAGGGCCAGCTCCAGCAGGACCCCCATAGCGCAGGGCACATCTGGTACCAGCACCACATGGGCACCCAGTGCTCCCTGTCCGCAGCAGGGCGAGGCATGAGAGCAGACTGGCCCACTCTCGCTCTCCCCCTTCCCCGCACACCCCAGACCTCACTCTGCCCTACCTGCATCTGTATAACCCCCTTCACTGGCCGTGTCCTCTCTCAAGGCAGCGAGGCCCCACCCTGGCTACACATCAGCTGACCCTGCCAGCACACCCCCTTGTTGTGGTCTATCCTGGGACACAGGCATGGCACCACAGCAGCCTGGGGAAAGCTGCTGGTGGTGCTCCCCTCTCCTGTACAGCACTCCTCCTGTAGCCCCCCATTACAGCCCTAAGCATGCAGGAAGCAAGGGGCATGCCACTGCGCTCTGGTGGGTGGCTGGGCTCAGAGCTGTGCTGCCAGCTCAGCTGGCCAAGGTGGGCTCCAGGAGGCTTGTGCCAAGTCACTCCTGGCACAGTGTCCCCTGCCTGGAGCCCTGGCCAGACGACAAGGTCCAAACCAACCTCTCCGAGTGGAGCCACAGAAGGGAGCCTTAGGACCTAGCACAGGCGAGGGATCACCACCTCGCAATTCCAGCCAATGACTGGTGGCTGGCCAGAGCAGAGCTCTGGGAAAGAGACGTCCAGTCTCGATTTACAGACTCCCAGGACAGAGAATCCCTCCGGCCCAGGCACATTGCTCTGAGGGGCTAGGGCCTCACTTGGACAACTGGGGTTATGCTTCATTTGATCTTTGCCCAATTCAGCTCCCTGTCCTGGCTCGTGCTCTGTCAAAGGCCTCTGCTCGCAGCCACATTCTCCCTATGGAGGGACTCGACCTGGGGTCAATCACCTCTTACTTCTCATTTCAATAAGCTGCTAGTGCAGCTGCTCGTCACACCAAAGGGGACTCGTAAAACCAAGCATTATGTCAGTTCAAGGCTGCGTGCAGATATGGACTGCAGATAGGTAGTTGCTAAACTGATTTTAGCTTTACTAGCTTTAGCCACAGAGGTGCCAAGATGGGAATAGCAGTGGGAATAGCAGTGGGTCAGGATTAAGGAGCAAGGACAGAGCTGGAGAGGGGGAAATCCCAGGATAGCAACAGCTGGGGGCTGCAGGTCAGTCGCCAGGAGCACTGGCAGAGCTGAGAAGGGGTGGAAGCTAGAGACTGTAACAGCAGAGGGCTGTTGATTAGGATTGAAGGGCACTGGCACAGCAAGAGTGGGTGCCGAGGTCTGGAATACCCACCCTAACTATTTCAGGTTCCAAGTAAGGCTAGCTCTCCCCTCCCCTGCTTCCCTTGAGTTCACGACAAACAGATGATTGCATCTCTTCTCTCTCAGGGCTTTGTACAACTGCCATCTCCGCAGGATCTGAGCAGCTGCCATGTGAAAGCCACTGGCATGGGGAGGTCCTTAGTGTGCAGTCTGGAACATGCATCTCTTCCCCCTCATGGGGCTGCAGGGAGTTCTGCCTGGGACGGGTTTCTGTGGGGTGGGGGCTGATGAGGTGCCTGCTGGAAAAGCTTAACCACATAGGAGCGCTTGGCAGCACCAAGAGTCGGCCAGATTTCTCCCACAATAGCTGCTCGCAGATGCGTCAGCCTGAGACACTGATGCTGGATCCCCTGGGTTGGTAGCTTTAATAGGGGCATCCAGGAAGGGGGCTCTATATTCGTGTCATCCTGCCCTCAGCAGAGGGTGCTCTCGCCTGCTCCACCGGCTCCCAGCATGGGGATGTACCTGGGCAAGTCTCCTGAGCAGCAGCTCCGAGGAGGGGCGACTCCAGTCGAGGAAAATCTCAGGGGCCAGCGTGACAGTCATTTCCAGCACTCTGAGCAGGCTTACTGACAGGTCAAAGCAGGTCGCGCACACCTTCAGCTGGCGGCTGTCCACAAAGTTCCTCTCCAGGCGCTCTGCCGCCTGCTGGATCTGCCCGGGCACAGGGCACAGCTCAGTACAGGGCCTTGCAAGGAACAGAGGCCTCCACCCGCTCATGCACCCATCAGGGCTGTGCTGCTTGACTCTGCAACCAGGCCGCCCTGGCCTGGCTCCCAGAGCCCACCCCTGCATAGCCTGCTGGGCTCCCCGCTAGGTGCCGTCCAGCCAAGCCCCAGCACTCACCTCCTGGATCATGCCAATGAACTCCGAGAAGGCCCAGTTGAGCTGGTTGAGAACGCTGTTGAGGAAGCTGGGTGCCATGTCACAGTCACTGCGCAGCAGATTGGCCATATGCTGCTGCAGCAAGGTGGAAGGGCACGGCTCTAGGACCAAAGGGCAGCAGAGTCAAGGGCAGACCCGGCAGTGGGCAGCCTGGGGTGCCCAGCTAAGGGAGGCAGGCAGCTGGGGAAGGCACAGGCCTGGTGCTATGCAGCACTTTAAGGCCAGGAGGGAGACTGAGCATGAAGCAGATAGCCCCTTGTGCCCGACTTCTGGACAGTGAGTAGAGATGGCAGGTGCCCTGCAAGGCTAGGTCCACACACTATTCTGAGCACAGAGCTTGCCCGTGGGCTGCCAGCACTGCCCTGCATAAGCTGGGCTACAGCTGTGCACAGTCGTAGCTCTCCCTCCCTTCCTCCCTTCCAGGGGAACAGCAGCCCTGAGCTAACCAAGCCTCTAGTGCTCAGCTTCAGAAAGCCCCAGACCAGTTCAGTAGTAATCTCTCCTGATGCCAGCATCACAGTCATTGCCCCGTGCCTACACACCCGCCCCCTCATGTGGGCCCTGGCCTGCCCGGCTGTGCTCTGAAGGCCAGTGAGGAAGGTGCTCCCTCCCTGAGATGGGGCAGAGCCCTTCCCCAGGGCTGCGCTCCCGGAGCCCAGGCAGGTCATTTCTCAGCACTCCCACCATTGCTCCCCAGCTCAGCCCTCTTGGCGTTGGCAACCCCCGGCACAAACACACTGGGGCCCAATGCGGCTCAGCCAGCCAGGGGCCTTTAACAGTGTCCCTCCCTGGCACAGACGGGGCTCGGGCCTGAGCATTGCCCAGCAGGGGAGGGAAAGGGAGGGGATGGGACACTGGGCCAGGATAGACACTGCACCGCATCCCCTAGTCACTGCCACAGCTGCAGGTCCCAGCACTGAGCCATGCCTGCCACAGCAGGGGAGCTGCCATGTTCCTGTCTGTGGGGCAGAGCCCCAGTGGGGAAAGCAGACAGCAGCAGCTCCCTACAGCTGCAGCGCAGTGCCCCCGCGTGTCCTGCTGAGCGGAGCCACCCCGGTCTCAGCAGCCAGAGCCCCGCTACCAGGAGGAACTGACTGGCGCCAACAGCGGCCCTGGGACTGGCCCAGACAATGAGCAGCAGGGCCTGCAGCTTCCCGTCGCAGCAGGGAACCCGCATGCTACAGACCAGGGCACTTTGCCCTGCCCTCCTGAGGGACGGAGGGGTGCCTGGCCCAGCAGCATACTGCTCCTCTGAACACTCCCTCCTGCCTATAGCAAGGGCCAAAATGCCCGGGTCTAAGGGACGTGGGCCTGGTTCCCGGGGCTGCCAGGCCAGAAGGGAGCAGGGGCTGTGCCTTTGTGGACAGCCTGCATGGACTTCCAACGCAGCAGGAGGCTCAAGCTGCTTGGGGGGTGCCTCTGGCAGTGGGACCTGGTTCTCCGGGGCAGGGGAGTAGCACTTCCCTCAAGCCGCCCCTCAGACACAGCCCGCGCAATGGGCACTGCATTGGAATCAGCCCCTTGTCCCCCTGCCCCGCTCAGGCAGGGGCAGGGCCCAAGGGCACCTCTGTGGAACATGTTCCCTTGCAATTAGGGCAGCTTTCATTATTGGTTCAGGGGCTGCACAGACCAGCAGTGCCAGGAGCCAGTCCCATCCTTCTGCCCGCTCAGAGCTTTCCCAATCAGATGCAGGGGCACCCAGGAGCAGAGCCACACCACCGCTGCCCCTGGGGGTGCGGCAAGCATGCCACACAGTTGCCAGCATGGGACACTGGAATGTTACCATGGCGCTCTCTAGCCCGCAGGCCAAGGCAGAGGCTGGCGCGGCTCATACTCTGGATCTGCCAGCTCTGTCCACCCCCCAGTCGCAGCAACTCCCTCCCTCCCGCCACACACACACACACACCCCTCTCTCAGGCAGGAGGCAGCCACCCTGCTCAGTGAGCCAGGAAGCCACCACCATGGTAATGGCAGCCCTAGGTGAGTGGCCCCGCTCTGCACAGCTGCAGCAGGGGTTCAGGGCACTGCCGTGAGCTGCCCCATCTCCCTGGCACAGAGCCGAGATGCAGGCCGAGGAGCCCCTCCCCTGCCAGGGCTCCCACCAGGACTGGAGAGGGTCGGGGGCAGGCCAGGGGCACACCAGGAGGGGAAGCACCAGGGGACGAAGAGCTACTGCACCACCACACAAGACAGGGCCGAGCAAACAGCAAACTTACGCTGGAGGCTAGCAACAGACAGCTCTCCTGGGCCCCCGAGAGAGAGAGACAAGACAGCAGCATTACAGAGGGGCAAAGTGCAGTGCAGCACCTATGGCTGCAGGGCCCTACGCCCACACCCAGAGCTGTGCACCAGCCACTGACCTGACATCACCAGAGCTCTCCACTGGAGGAGAGCGAGGCCCAGCAGCTTGTACGCACACACACTCCCGACCCAGAGCCCAGCTGCACGTGCATACACACACCCCAAGACCCTCCGGCTTGTGCACGCACGCACACACACACATGCACCCTTGCCCCCAAGGCCCAGTGTCCCTCACACAGCTCCACGTAGGGAGCAGTGCTCCAGGGGCTGATGAGCAAAGGGGATAGACAAAAGGGAGGTCACAGAAAGGAGGATACCACCATCACTCCTCTATTAACCAGCACCCAGTGTGGGCATGCCAGGTGCCTGGGTGGCCGTGCGATATTTGGATTCGTTTGCTGTTCTGTGGCCTCCACTTCCACTAGTGCAGCTGGTTTGCCCAGGGCTTGTGCGGAGATGGGGTGCTTGGAAACAGCAAGGCCTGCTCACAGAACTTGCTGGATCCCCAGACCACCTATTGCCCCAGCGAACAGACCAAGACTGGACCTTTCAACACCTGGCTGGCTGGAGCCAGGGGGACACGGCCCCCAGTCATTACTGCAGCAAAGCCAGCTGCGGCCAGCTGCCCTGGCACCCGCTGCTGTCTGCAAGCAAGGCCCCAGGCCGGGCCTGATCCCCAGGCCACGACAGCACAGGAGTGCAATGGTACAAGGGCACCAGGGCAGTGGGGGATGGAGAAGGGAACAGGCCCCCCTCAAGCTGCGGCCATTGTATGCTCCCTGGCGCTCCAAGAAGCCTCTGCTCACGCCTCCTCCATCACCTGCTGAAGAGCCCCTGGCTCGGCGTTTGCACACTGCTGGGGCTGTTCCCAGCACCACCGGCTGGGCCTGCTGGACACATTCCTGGTTCCCCAACAACAGGGCCCCGCTAGATCCCGGTGCCAGACCCCGCGACCCATACCACTCTCAATGCAGCAAGCGCCCCAGCACCAAACCCCGCCCCCCCATACCGCCCTCAATGCTGCGAGTGCCCCAGCACTAGACCCTACCAGTCCCCACCCTTCCCTCCATCAATGCCGCAAGCGCCTCGCGCCAGACCCCACCCTTCCCACTCCACAGCTGCGAGCATCCCAGCGCCATACCCCTGCCTCCCCTGAAAATGTCGTGAGTGCCCCAGCACCAGACACTGCTCCCCTCAGTGCCATGAGCGCCCCGGCACCAGACCCTACCCCCACCCCACTCACTCTGCAGGCTGGGGAGATTGGCATCCTCGGGCTTGGTTTTCAGCAGGTGCGGGAGCCGCGTGTACCTGTATCCAAACCCACAGCCCTGCGGGGAGGGAGATAACGGCAGGGTTAGGACAGGGCTCCCTAGGCCTCCACGGCAGAGCACCGAGCTGCGCCAGGCAGGCTGAAGGGAACATTGCAGGTGCTGCCCAGCCTGCCAGGGAGAGGGCTGAGACCTCTCGCCTGCAGCTGAGTGATGGCCCCAGAGGCATGGGCCCAGGCAGCTGGCAGCAACAGGCAGTGGGACCTTACCCGCCACAGCCGAACGAGGATCCAGTTGGTCTGCGCCCAAGGCCGCTGCTCGTAGGGAGCCAGCAGGTTCCTCATCATGGATATTCGCCTGCCAGACAGAAGGGACAGATTGACAGCCAGGAACAGAAGGAGGGCAGGGTGGCACTTTCGGGGCTCCTAGAGGGCAGGGGAAGTAGAATGGCACCAATGTCTGCAGGGCCAGCACCAGCGGCACACCCAGGGGAGGGGTGGGGCCAGCACCTGGGGGAGGGGTTAAAGTTAAGCTATTTCTTCCCTTCCCAAGCTAGTCTGCAGCTGATCTACCCCAGCAGCCATAATCACTGCTACTGCCCTTGGCCCAGCCTGCTCCAGCCCAGGGACCTCTCAGCCATGCAGCCCTCCCCCACGTTGTCCTGACACCCACTCTTCCACTCCCAGCTCCTTTGCCCCAGCTCCCCACAGCAGTTCAGGGTGCAGATCGGGACTTACTGCTCCTCCGGGATCCTCTCCACGGCCCGCAGCGAGTGTGGGTAGCACACATAGCTGGCCAGCGCCTGCATCAGCGAGTCCCGGATGTCTGGGGGCAGACGAGAGGGGCTAGGCTGACACAGCAGGGCCAGGCCTGTGGCTGAGCTGTGCAAGGAGCCAGGGAAGGGACTGGTCCCCAGCAGGAGGGACAAGTGGCATTTTAAATGGTACAATCCAGGGGCTGGCTAGGGCCTTATTAAACACACAGGCAACGGGTCCCCTCCTGCCAGCTCACTCCGCCCTGTGACCTCCCAGGTCCTGCCAGGCCAGGGGCCAGGCTTGGAGCCTCCTCAGGCCTTCTCCAGTCACAGGGTAACTGCCTAGTCCCTGCTCATCTCTGCCCATCACCTGCACAATGGGGAGGTCATGGATTCCCCTACCCCACGCAGTTGGGAAATGCATGGCCTCTGAGAAACAGCCTGTCTGCGCACAGCCAAGACTGCAGGGATGGCACTGAGCCCTCCAGGCAGCTGCTATGGGTTTGCCATCAACAGATGAGCATGCCCAGGAGAACCCACCCCATGCCAGTAGCTAGGACACTCTGCCCTCCTTCCTCTTCCCCCACTAATGCAATTACCTTAGCAATTGCTAGGAAAGCCACCGCAGGGTGCCCAGCAGCCCTGACACAGCCTGGTCCCTTTGCTGCTCTCCAGCAGCCCCTTGCTGCCACAGGCAGGGTCTGGCAGCAAGATGGGGGCTGGTCACTGCCTGTGCCCTCAACCCCAACAGGCAGAACAGTCACCAGTTACCCCAAGAGAGCAGCCTCACCAGTGCCAACGATCCTGGAGTCAGCAAAGTGCTTGGCCAGGATGGCAGCAAGATGCGTCAGAGTCTCTTCATAGCCTGCAAGGAAAGAGATTGAGCAGGTGGAGAGGTGTCAGTCCATCAGTAGTTACAGGGGCTCTGGGCACAGTCCCACACCCTCAGGCGGTCGCGGGAACCACCCCTGCTGTGAAGCTGGGCGGCAGAGTTTGTTCCTATGTAATATAACTAGGTCTCACCCATGTGGTGCAACAATAACCATGGGAACAGTAACTGACAGGGCATCTCTGCCTGAGATGCAGAGAGCCTGACATCATTACTCTGAGGGGGGTGTTTTGAGTCAGCCTCCCTGGACGTAGCAGCTGCCAGGTGCCTGGAGAATCCCACAAAAGGCCAGCCATGAAAATAACCAACGGCTCCAAGTCTTAGCTGCGTGTATGGGGACGAGGGGTGCTGGACATAGGGAAGCCCCAGCACAGCAGGGAAGGACAGGACTGCAGCTCTGGATGCTCAGGATAGCACACCTAAGCCCAACTGCCCCTTCAAGCTGGGAATACAAAGGGTATGGCTCCTGCAGCGGGCTCAGCCCATGTTAGGAGCAATGTAACATCGTGCCATACGCTGCAAGAAAACATTGCCAGGGTGGACCCTCACTGGGGACACTGGACACTGCTATTCTCTGCCTCAGGGTTTGAACCCTTCAGGAGCAGGGCTCTGGCTCCATGGCACGCCAGGCAGGGCTGGACAAGAGGAGCCAGCAGGTCTGCGAGTCTCTTCAATCACCTGCACACAAATGGCCGTTCTGGATTAGCACTTTGGTAGCTGCGGGCCAGCTGGGTCTGGCGCTGCACACTCTGACAGAGCCCAGGCCTCAGACCTTCTTGCTCCCCAAGTCGGCACACCCCATGTCCTGGGGGGGATGCCCACACCGGCCCCATGATGCCTCTCGCCGGGAGAGAAGCAGTGTATCACCCACCTGCCCACCAACCCTCCCTCCCACCTCAAAGAGCAAGCGGATTTTCACTCAAACCCATCAGAACAAGGGGAGGGATAGCTCAGTGGTTTGAGCATTGGCCTGCTAAACCCACGGTTGTGAATTCAATCCTTGAGGGGGCCATTTAGGGATCTGGGGCAAAAATTGGGGATTGGTCCTGCTTTGAGCAGGGGGTTGGACTAGATGATCTCCTGAGGTCCCTTCCAACCCTGATAGTCTATGATTCTATGAACACCACACCAAACGGCCTCCTCCCTGACACAGGAGCACAGAGCAAGTCGGGCACTGAAGCGAGCATGGCCAGCCTGGCTCTCAGACCCAATGGACTCAGCAGGGAGACTAGCATTGCCATTGGCTACGCAAAGAGCCAGGAGTAGCCCAGCAAGGAAAGCCAGACACTGCAGAGGACCACACAGGGCAGGGACACAGAGGGTCGGAACACCCTGATCGGGGAGCTGACCCATCTCTCAGTGACTGCCAGGGTCTTGGCTTGCATTGGGCCTTCAGATCTGCTCCCCACACCCTGACTGCTAGCACTTTCCCAATCCGCCAGCCAGCTTGGCATGGGGCTAACCCCACAGAAGCAGAGGGGATGATAGAACTGGGGAAGGACCTAAACCTGAAGGGGATCAGGGCAGGAAGGAGTCACAAATCACGCAGGGCCCCAGCTACATAGCGACTCCAGATGCAGAATCTGCCATAGACTCTCAGCTCCACTGGAGCAGAAGATGGCTTAGATAGCAAAGGCCTGGTGGCTGGGAAGGGAGCAGGAACTGCTTATTCCACACCTTAGGTGTTGGCTCTGAAACCCAGTGACGACAGCTTTGCTGTTCGCCATTTCACTGCTGATAGTTTTAACAGAAACACCCAAGCTCGTGCTTGTCACCCCCACCCTTGGCAGGGAGTGAAGAGGACAGACATCCCTTCTGTGCTCCAAACCCAGCCACTTCCATTACCCCACTGTACCAAAAGTCATCTGCCAAAGTCTCCAGCCCCCACTGTGGCAAGCTAGACACCCACAGGTCGAACTCCACACCACACTGCAGGAGCAGCGGCAGCATACAATAAAGGCAACACAATGGCCAAAGACTGCCTGGGCTGCTGGCTGCCTGCAGGTCCTCACGTGCCGCAGGCTGAGAGCTAGCAGGTGACCAAGCCCAGGAAATCCCAAAGGGCCCCTTTGAAACCTCCGTCTAACTCAATAAGCTGTCCTCCCTCCCCAAGGAAATGGCCAGCACTCAGTGCAGAGATGAGCACACGGCAGGGGAAGCAGCCCCGATGTCTCCTGGGAGCTCACAGCCAGGGCACAGCTTTGTCCTGCCCAGCACCAATCTCAGCCCAGCATAAGTCAGCAGTGACGACAGCACGAGTCCCCTCCTCACCAGGGAGCTCCTCCATGCTATGGACAGGGCTGAAGTAGTTCTTCAGCGCGCTGTAGCTGTTCATGGCCACACTGAGGTAGAACTCCGGCATGAAGGCGAAGAGTGAGCCCGTCCTGTCCCCGTGCTCAATGGTGCGGATGCACACTCGCAGCAGCCAGTATATGTCCTGCATCTTCTCCTGCCAGGGAGAACACAGCCATGAAAGAGTCAGCTTCCACCCCAGGCATGCCAGAAAAGGATCTAGGCAACATACCAAAGTGATCGTTGCTGTCGGCACGAAGGATAAGAGGCTGAGAACTCAGTGGAGAGCCCCAGGACCATGCCATGCGGCTAGCCAGGGGCAGCTCAACCTGAAGCGGCTTTGAACAGAGGATGGAAGCTAAGCGTCAAAGAAGAAAGCAGAGTGCTGTCATCTTGGACTCCAACTCAGACAACACCTGGATGGATCTGTGAAACTTCTAGCAAGCTGGAGCGCCCTCAGATTGGTCTGGTCAGCCATAAGCGGATTCAGCAGGCACCTGACTAGACCTTTTATGCATACACCTTGACGCAGTGGATCAACAGCTGCCTAGACAATAACTATAATAATAAATGTTAATGGGAAAAGGTCCAAAGGGGACACAAAAGGACTGGGTTTGGTCAAGCAAAAAGGCCTACCGGTATAACTCAAGGACTGGGTTAGGATCATGCCTGGCAAACAAAAGAGGAATGGGACCATAAATTAGTAACCCAAAACTGGTGTTGAGAATTAGGCCCAATGGTAAAGAAAATAATGAGGCGAGGAGCTGTTTTGTCCATTAAAAAAAAGCTGCCGAACAACAAATGCTAGCTGGGAGATGGGCTGCCCAAAAGCAGCGAGTCGTCACCCTCACAATCTCTAGGGCCTCCAGGAGCCACCACTGGACCTTTACCATCCTAACTCTGAAAAATGTTCTGACCAACCTGGGCCAGAGAAAGGGAGTCAAAACACATCCCTGCCTGTAACAGGGTGCTGGCCAGGAGGTCCTGAGCCAGGCCCCTGTTAACCCAGCTCCAATTAAGAAGTATTAATTGGGTCTGGCTGAGTATGCTATACCTAATTACTAGAAGAGAACCACCTGTGGACCTTATTAGCCGAGGACTATATAAGGCTGGCAGGAAGGAAGTGAACGGGGAGAAGAGAAAGGAAAGGAAAGGAAAGGAAGGAGCCAAAGGCTGTACATCCCTGCTGGCTGGAGAAGCTAGCTGTCCCCCAGGTTGCTGGTTTGGAGCAGACTGTAAATAGAAGGTGGTGGGAGCTGACACTGAAAATAAAAAGCACTGGTGATTGCACTCAGAAGGGGTCTCTGGCTGATTTGTTGTGAGGGCAAGCAAAGGCCTCATTACACTGCCTCCACCAGCTCCAGCTAAATCCCAATCACGCCCTGGGATGAAGATATTGATGCCTGCTATCACACACCTCCCTTCCCCTCCCCCTCCCCCCCCACTTTACGTTTTCCTAGCCCTCTTTTTCCTTTTGTCTAAGGACCATATGCTCTGCAACACTGCTGTAAGCCTGTAACCAAAAACACAGCTAAAAGCAATGCCCTGAACAGACCTGCGCTGGGACAAGTTGCCAGGTGCAGAAGTGGCTGATCAGACCACATGCACCCTCGTTGCTGGAGAAACCCAGGTTCAGCAAGTCAGAGCCAGCCCCAGAGGCAGAAGCTGCATTTTCTCTTTGTGGTTTCTTCCCCTTTTCATGTGCTTGTCTCGCTCTCTTTTGTAGGAAAAAGGGATTGAACTTTAACAGCAGTGGCAGCTCCAGCCCATTCCAACTCATGGCTTCTCTTTTCCTCAAAGAGAACAGCTAGTACCATCTTTACTTCTACCTCAGTCTCAGACAGGGGGAGGGGGTGGAGCTTCCTGCCAAAGGCTCTACAGCTCAAAGGGGGAGGGAGTGGGGGTAGGAGAAGAAATAGTGTTACAATGAAAGCCCCACTTAACTTCATATTTCCAGTACTTTAATTGGGTTTCCTTCTTTTTCTAGATCTTTACTGAAATGCTGCCTCGTTTGTAATGGTGTATTTGCCATGGTATTAGCAGGCCGAGGCGTCTGCTCACCCAGACCCAAACCAACATTAAGAGTTTTAAACAGGAACAGTGGCAGGGTCACGTTAACCCGTGGGACTCTCTGGGCCCGTGTAGTCCATCAAAATCAATACGACAAGCCCCACAGCTCAGAATTTCACAGGGGTCAGGCTGAACCGCTGCCCACCCTCCCCCAGGCTCCTCCCACCACACACTTCTCTCACCTTGGAGTAGATGGTGACGTTGATCCAGGCTAGCCGGCGACTCAGGTGGTTGAGTTTCTCTGAGAAAACCTTCTGGCTTTTCACCAGCTCCTCGTATATGTCCCTCCTCTGAAAGAAGTACAGCGGGCGTGAAGAGTCCCTCCCTGACCAGACAGGCACGGTGCAGAGCAGAATGGACAGGACACAAGAGGTCCCCCCTTCTATGGTTCGCAAGGGAGGACAGGCAAGAGCCAGAGGGGCTGGAGTCCAGCTAAGAGGCATCCATGCGAACGCTGGGGGAGTGGAAGCCCGAAGCAGACCGATTCCCAGGTGGGATCGATCGCTGCCCTGACCAGCAAGAACCCCAGGACCAGGAACCTTGGCCAGGAATTAGCCCCTAGGTATCCAAGTGCTTTCAAATCACCTGCTGTAAGAGGCAGCCTTTGGTAGGACTCGTCAGATGGAGTTACCCTCCACCTGCAGGAGCCCTGAGCCAGAAACCGTTCTGGGCATTTCCTGTCTGGTTTCTTGGTAGCACCATCTGTCAGGTGTCCTTCCCCTAAGCCCCACTACTGCATACGGCGGTGCCCAGACCCAAAGCGGGTGGGGCGTCTATGCCACGGGCTGGGTTTGGAGGGTTATTTTATTCAATACTCTTGGGGATAGAAACTCTACACCCTGTAACAGACCAGTCTGGTCCACCTGTCCCATGAGGCAGGCTCCTCAGCCTGTGAACCCCAGAGGTAAATGGAGAGCAACACCCGTGCTTTTGTTCCCCCTGGCCTGCTGCTGGGGCCTGCACTCTAGAGAAGCAGCAACTGAACCGCACAGTGCACGTGCTCCTCCTCCCTGCCAGCCTCCTCGCAACCCCTGGCTTGAGCTATCCTCCGGCAGAGATGGCAGAGCCCTTTGCCCCAGGGCTCTGCAAAGGCTACAAAGATGGAAGCTGTGGGGGCTACTGGAGGGACTCCTTACCCTCTTTGGACATCGGCTAATCTTCTCCTCTGTGTCCTTCAGTGCCAAGGCATATTCGTTCACATCATCAGACACACCCACCATCTGAAAGACAAGTGGGGAATGGTGATGCCAGCACAGAGCTTTTCCAGCATGGTTAAGAGCAGCCTGACCCCAGAAAGCAGCAAACCGGCCAGCATCGCAACACTCCTGTCCCCTGGCTGGGCTGCTCTCTGCAGGTCAGGGGGTCGGAAGGCTGGAGCTGCAGTGATTTGCTCTCACTGCAGATACAGGAGCAATTCCTCCTCACCAAAACCAGCCACTTGCTCACACACAGCAAAGGCTAAAGGACCAAAAGCAAGACCTATGCTAGCTTGTAACCCGATATGCTATGCTAGCGGTGAGCCCTTCTCTGTCCTGGATTGAACTTGGTGGACTGAGCAGAGACGTCCAGATCCCAACGTGCCCTGGGCTGCTCAGGTGAACAGCCATCTGGTCCAGCATCCCTGTGCTCTAGGCCCCAGCATGCTGCTGTTACTCAGCTCCCACTCTCCAGGAAAGGAATTCAGCCCTACCTCTAACCTGTGTGTATAGCCACAACAGCGGGGGGAAAGAGGTGGGGGGCTGGAGATCAGGGACTAAGCTGCAATCTCCAGTGACACCGAAGCGTAACAAATGCAGTTTGGGACAGGATCTGCAGTCCCTGCTTGAGACACAGGGTCCCCTCCTGCCAGAGCCATCACCCCAGGATGAGTGGAACAAAAAAAGAAATAGGGCTGTGCCACAAACAGATATGCACACTGGCCAAGGTGGCCCTCTCTCTCTGGTGGCTCGATAGGCACAAGGGAGCTGGCTCATTGCAAGGACCCACAGGTGCTGGCCCGAGTGCGGGGCAGCACGACAAGGGCTGTGACCTCCTCCCCTATGGGTTCTGCTCACCTTACCAAGCTGCTGGTGGACGCTGAGGTTGTACATCATCACTATTCCATCCAGGATCTCCAGAAGGGAGTTCTCAGTGATTGACTGTTCCGGCTCCTCAGGGGGTCTCCCCAGTAACAGACCCTCATTTCCGTGGCTGCCTTCTACTGCAACACAGCCCCAAGACAGAAGAGAATTCTCAGCAGTGTCGCTGGCAGTACGAGGCCTGCACGCCTCCTAACCAATGCATCACCCCCAGTGTGCAGTGTTCTCAGGGACCATGACCACTGCACAGCTCCCTCCCACCCCATGCCTTTCCCCAGCCATTGTTCCCTCTCTACGAGCCTGGTGGGGGCCTCACACAAAGGGGCTGAGCTGGCTTTCAGAGGGTTAGCAGTGCTCCTGTCTGACGTGCTACTGCAGTCCGGCCCTGCGCACAGTCCCTATCCTCCCCAGGCCAAGGAGGGAAGCACCTGGCAAACACACATTGAGCAGAACGGTGTGAGCCTCCTACCTTTCCCGCTGCATGCTGGGAAAGGGCTGGGCACAACTGGGGCATTCTGGGCACTGCCAGGCAAATGAGCAAAACCCAGCAGCCTCTGCCAAAATCAGAGTGAGGCCAAGATCATCAAGGATGGGCAGGGCAGGGAACTCAGACCCAGGTTCTCTGTTATGCACCACTAGTCCGCAATGCCAAGTGCCACTGACTACAGACTTGGGCCCCACCACCTCGGCTCTAACCTGCCCCCATGTGAGCCCCCAGCCCCACTGCTTGGCCTGCTCCTGCCCATGCACTGCAGCAGCCGGGGCTGAGTCCTCAGCCACTGGGCTCGCCTCCTCACCTTTGGGTAGGCAACTGGACTGACTGATTTTTAAAGAAAATGCAGGCGCTTTGATAACCTGCTTCAGGAGAGACTGCCCGTGCAGGGATCAGCGCTGCCGCGACAGCACTCAGATGCACTCCTGGCTCTCCCACAGCTCCTGTGAGCAGGACCATGCCCAGGTCATTGCCAGCCCCCAGCACCTCCAGGCTTTGAGCATCACACACTGAGCTAGCTCACTGGCTAAACGACAACTCCTCAATCAGACAGCGAGCAATTGCTGTGGCCCTTTCTCAGCTAGGCTCAGGACTGATCCATTTCCCGGGGACTGGCTGGGCCTTTTCCTTTGCCTGATTCTCCCACCCCTACCTGACACCTTGACAAGCATACAGTAGGAACTACTCACTGTCATCCTCTGTCCGCTGCTCCACACTCAGCGTGCGTGCTTTCATCTTCTCCAAGGTGCCCAGGGGCCGCCGGGGGTTCATCAGGCTGACAGCCGCTGTACTGAGGAAGCGGTTGGCACGGCCCAGGGTAGGTGAGCTGAGCCAACTGGGCCTGGCAAGGGCACCACCAATGGCCAGTGCTGCAACTGGGCGCTGAGACACAGAAGGTCAGAAATGTGAGCAGCTCCATTCGTTAGGCTGCCCACTGACTCCGAGCCCTTTATCTCCAAGGGTCGCAACTGTGCCAGCCCAGAGTTTCCCTGGCTTCCTAGGGCTAATGTGACAGACCCCAGCTTGCTCCCTCCCTCCCTGCCACAGCTGGGCTGGCTGTGCAGGACCAACAGGACGCAGCACCCCATTCTGGCCAGACAGGGAGCAGAGCTGTGCAGAGATGGGAACGCCTTTACAGGTACTTCTCTGATGGCAGCAGCACTTGAACACTGGACACCGGAAGCCACCAGGCTCACTCAGCAGTCCCCTCTCTTCCCCATCATGTGGCTTCTCTAGCCGCTGCTGGGGGCACAGGCCTACTGGACCCACCTGGGCTGTGGAGGTTGCGGTCTCCTCATCTTCATCCAGGTCGTCCATGGTCACAGCCTGCAGCTCCGCAGGGTCAATCAGAATATTTGCTTTCAAAGCCAGGTCATCTGTGTGAAAGGAGCCATGGGATCAGGATTCATTGTGGGCCCACTCCCTTGGAGCACGGAATGGCACATGGCCAGCCCCAGGGATTGGAGGGGGAAGACACTGACGCTGTCCCGGTGAAGTCACAGTTCTCTGGTCCCTTTGCTCTCCTCACCCTGCCCTCTCACATGTGAGCCTACGCTCTTCTCCACTACTCCCTAGCTGGCCTAGCACAGTCCAAGTCTGCTACACCAGAAGCAGGACTGGTGCTGTCATCACACATCCCTGGCACAACCCCACAATGGCAACTCTGCATAACTGGAAACAGCCCTGGCTCTGCCCATTGCAGCACCCCCGTGAGAGGCCATGGGCAGGCTCCAGGGCACTCCTGGGAGATGGAGCAGTGCCTCCAGCTGGGGCACACACCAGGGCACTGTTCTGCCCCATCTAACCTGGGTAAGATCCTGTCCATTACTGCAACGCTGCCTACACAGTGAGATCCCAGCGCCCCCATTCCAGCTCCCCGGGTGGCACCTGTGCCCCACACTGTACAGACAGCCATGGGAAAGCCAGACAGCTAAACCATGGTAATAGTACTGCCAGCCTGGCACTCAGGTAAGGCCACGCTGTGGGTCCACATCCCTCCGCTGCTGCCCAGATTTCACAGCAGGGCAATGCCCACCACTGCTGAGCATGAAGTGAACTGTCCCTTGGCACGGTAAGCTCCCTTGTGCTGACAGGGTAAGTGCCAGGGGTGCTCAGGGATCATTGGTAATGGGGCTAGAGTCCAGACCTCCACCAGCAAGCCCTTCCTCCCTCCACTGGCTCCAGTGCCCTTCCCCTCCTCCCCAATCCTGGAATCCCCTGCTCTCCCCTTTGAGTCCCCCTCCATCTTCCCTTCCCCAGAGTCTCCCTCACCCCTCCTTCAGGTTGTCCCTACACCCTAATGGCTCCCACCCCCTTCCATCCTTCAGTTTGTTAGCCACCAGTCCCTCTAACATGGGCATGGCCCCCTTCACGGGGCTACTGTTGTCCCCCCTCCCCCTGCCCCCAAACCTCTCTAGCAATCAATCTTCACATCAACCCCTTACAAGGAAGGGCACCATTTAAAATAACACAGTAGGGAAGGGAAGCATGCAAGGCAGCTAGAGCCAAATGACACAGCAGACTCCTCCTAGGTGCCTAGATTCCCAGGCCACTAGGGACCATTTTGCTCACCTAGTCTGACCCCTGGCAGAGCACAGGCCAGAGACCAGCCCCACAAGCATTCCTGCAGCAGAGCTTTTAGAGAAACAGCCAATCCAGAGTTAAAAATTGTTAGAGATGATGGAGAATCCACCATGCCCCTGGGTAAGTTGTTCCAATAGTTAATCATCCTCACCGTTAAAAATGTAGGCCTGATTCCCAGTCTGAATTTGTCTAACTTCAGCTTCCAGCCATTGGATTGTGTTAGACCTTTCTCTGCTAGACTGCAGAGCCTATTGTTAAATATTTGTTCCCCATGCAAGTACTGATAGACTGTGATCAAGTCAACCTTTAACCTTCTCTCTGTTAAGTTAAATAGATTGAGCTCCTGGAGTCTCCCACTAGAAGGCAGGTTTTCCAATCCTTTCATCATTCTTGTGACTCTTCTCTGACCCCTCTCCAATTTATCCACATCCTTCTTGAATTGTGGACACCAGAACTGGACGCAGGATTCCAGCAGTGGTTGCCCAGTGCCAAATCCAGAAGCAAAATAACCTCTCTGTTCCTACTGAGATTCCCATTTATGCATCCCAGGATCTCATTAGCTTTTTTGGCCACAGAGTCAGACTGGGAGCTCCTGTTCACCTGATTATCCACCCTGATTATCAACAAAGATTTTTCAGAGTCACTGCTTCCCAGAAGAGCGTCCCCCAGCCTGTACATACAGCCTACATTCTTACATGAGCCTACGTTCTCAGACACATACATTTACATTGAGCCATATTAAAACACATCTTATTTGCCTGAGCCGTTTATCAAGCAATCCAGACTGCTCTGTACTGGTGACCTGTCCTCTTCATTATTTACCACTCCCCCAATTTTTGTGTTATGTGCAAAAGTATTAATAATGATTTTATGTCTTCTTCCATGTCATTGATAAAAATGTTAAATAGCATAGGGCCAAGAACAGACCCTTGTAGGATCCCACTGGAAAAACACTGGGTCAACAATGGTTCCCCATTTGCATTTATATTTTGAGACCTATCAGTTAGCTAGTTTTTATATCCATTTAAGGTGTGCCATGCTAATTTTATATCATTCTAATTTTTTTTTAAATTAAAATGACTTATGGTACCAAGTCAAACATCCTACTGAAGTATATTACACCAACACTAGTAAATTTATCAACCAAACTCATAATCTCATCAAAGAGAGAGATTTTACATTCCTTAAACTCACATAGATTTTATTAATTATATTACCCTCCTTTGATTCTTTATTAACTGAGTCCTGTATAAGCTGCTCCAGTCTCTTGCCAGAGATTGATGTCAGATTGACAGGCCCACAATTAGTCAGGTCATTCCATTTATCCTTTTTGAAAATTGGCACATTGGCTTTCTTTCACTCTTCTAGAACTTCCCCAGTGCCCTAAGACTTAACTGAAAATCAACATTAATGGTCCAGCAGGCTTCTCATCCAGCTCTTTTAAACTCTTGAATGCAAGTTATTTGGACCCACTGATTTGCAAATGTCTGTTTATGTATCCCGGGATCTATTTAACATCCTCCCAAGATACCAGTGGAATAGAAAGTGTTCTCATCACCCTATGAGACTGCATCATCTGTTTTTCCCCAAATACAGATCAGAAACATTTATTGAACACGTGTGCCTTTTCTGCATTATTATTGATGGTAATCTGTGCAACAGACAGCCCTCTCCTTGTAGTTAGAACGCCAGCCCTTCCCTCCTCACGTGCCCAGAAACCAACCCCTTCCTACTGCAGTTAAAGGACAAGGAGATGCCCATTACTCCCTAAACTACCACAAACTGCATCGCCCTCAACCTCCTCCTTGCCCTTCCCCCCGATTTAGACCAAGGTCTCTGAAGAGCAGGACTCCACACCATGCCAGTAAAGCGAAGCAATCCAACCCAGCACTCACCTTTCAGAGTCTTCTTGAGATGAGACAGGAGTCCACCGAGTCGCTGCAGGTCAAAGTAATCCACCTTTCCATTATAGAAGAGCTGAGGAGGAACATATGCCTCTGGCGGAAAGGGGACAAAGATTTATGGTGAGTGTCCCAGGCTGTGGCCCAGCTAACATGAAAAGACAGAGAGCACGGAGCACTGGCCCCAGCCTGGGGAGCCAGACAGCCCTGCAGATTTTACTCTGGCAGATTTTACTGCCCTGCAGATTTTACTCTGATTTTAGACCACTCTGGCAAAGGTGGTTTCCAGAGCGGAGCACACACCACACAAGCACAGAGACAGGGCACTCAGAGCCCTGACTGGCCACACACTGCTCCCCCACAGCTCCCTTGTCCTTGAAAGCCTGCTCACTGCATGAGCAGGGCAGGTCTCCACCCAGTTCCTAGCAACACACTCCAGCCACTGAGCCACACAGTGAGGTACACCTGACCAATTCCAGGCTGGACAGAGCTCGGCGGTGGGGCTAAGACGGAATAGCAGGAGGTGGCAGGCCAGGACTGAGGGGGAATAGATTATGCTGGGATAGTGTGTGTAAGAGTAGCTAGCACAGGCCCCGCTGGCCAGATAGTGCTGTTCATCCTGCACTTCAGGGCTCTGACAAGCCCATCCACTCCCGTTAGAGGGCTGGTCTGTGTGGGGAACCTGAGTGGCAGAGCTATGGAAGCATGTCCTCAGAGGGGCCATTCTGAAACAGTGAGCGTGCATGGCAGAGTTACCTGGCTGGAGCACTATCCCGCATTAGCGATGCCAGTCACCTTCCCAGTGCTGCCAAGCCCCAAGTGCAGTGGTATGGTTCGGTATGCCATACCAGTAGGATATTTATAGCTGATATTGTGTACCAGAAAGACACAGGAGGAACCCACTCTCAGCCCCGCCTCCTGCCCTTCCATGGAACGGCGTCTCCTCCATCTGTATAGCAGCCCTGCCAGAGGACAGGGCTGGGGGCGGTACAGCTGCCAGAGGAGCTGCCAGCGTTCCGCTCCTTTCCCTGCTGGCCTCCAGCCCTGCCCCCCATCCCCGCCCTGTCCTGTCCTCTGGCAGGGCTGCTGTACAGACCCCAGGCAGGAGGACTCAGGAGACGCAGCTGCATGGAAGGGCTGGGGCAGTACAGCAGTCATGCTGGAGGAGCTGCCAGTGGGGGGCTGCCCAGCAGCCCCACCTTCTGCTCCTTTCACCGCTGCGGTTCCGGAGAGCCCTGATCCCCCGGAAATCACAGCAGCGAAAGGAAAACACTGGCAGCTCCTCTGGCATGGCTGTACCACCCCCAGCCCTTCCATGCAGGTGCATCTCCTGAGTTCTCCTGCCTGGGGTCTGTACAGCAGAAGTCTCTGGCGCAGCGGGAGGAGAACAGAGCTGCCCGCCGCCCCCCCCCCCGCAGGTAACATGGGATGGATGTGGATCATGGGGAGGGGATGGGGACAGCATGGGGGTCCTGGGCTGGGGGTGGGGCAGGGAGGAGTCACATGGGTCCTGTGGGGCAGTCACCTGTCCTTCCCATAAGTGCAGCATACCAGCAAGAAATGATTTCTACTTGCATCACTGCCCAAGTGTAAAGGTTCCCAGGCTGCAGGGTCATGAAAGGTCACTGCTCCTGAACCAAGCTCAAGTGTCCAGCCTCCTGGAGAATGGCAAATAGGCCCCATCCTGTTCCCACCCCCAGTGTAGTGGGGCCTCCATGACAACGCCGCCCTGCTGCTGATTGCTGGAGCATGGAGAGGCCTTACCCTCACTGCTCAGGGCTGCAGGAGCCTTGGCCTTGTGCCCGTCCCAGTAGCAGCGCAAGGTGGAGATGAGTCGATGCAGGAAGCAGACCATGTATTCTGGCGGGCACAGTACAGTCAGGTTCTGAAGGGGGTGGCAGAGAGGACAGTGAGGGAGGGTCACACTTGGCAGTCCCTTCTGGCACTTTCTGCTCCCAGCCCCACTCTGTGCACTCCGCTGTCTTGCAGACCGCATGGAGCATTGGCCGCAGAGCCCAGCCCCAGCACACAGCGCCTCCTCAGAAGGCAACAGCCTCTTACACAGTACCCTTCCCCATGGCATCGCAAAATCGAGTGCTGGGCCAGCCTACTAGCAAACATTTGAACGCCAGCTGGGCACTCTCAGTGGCAGAGAAGGCAAGCTGCTAAATAACGTAACTATGCAGTGGGGAAGGGCACAAATACCTAGCACAGAGCTAGCTGTGACCACTAGCATCACGGAGACCTTCAACAGTAGCAAGTGAAGCAGGCTGCCAGTTGGGGTTCCCTGGCGCCAGGGCTGTACTGGCTTGCTCCCAAATCTCCCACCACTGCAATAGCTGTGGAGCAGCTCCACCACCGACGGCAGCGAGAAAGCACTAACCCTAGCACCCCGGATAGTCACTGACATCTTGTCCCCGGAGATGCTCTGACCAGGGTTAAGCACCAGTGCTCCATCTACATTAGTGTCCCCCACAGCTACTGTAGTGGGACTGCACTGGGGCCAGTGCAGCCATGAGATCGGAGAGGAAGGCTGGGGCAGACACAGGCTGTGTCCCAGGATGATAATTCCTCCTAGGTGCTGAGCCTATGAGGGTATCACAAACAAACTCTTGCAGGAACCAGTCAGCTTTGTATCACTGACAGCAGCACAAGTCCCTTCACTGCCCTCGAGTGGGTCCAGCTTGGGAAGTTGAGCACAGTAGCAGCATCACAGCAGGGCCATGAGCACCTCCAGCTCTCACCATGCTGTCTGCCTTCCGACACCACCATCCCAACAGACCCAACATGCCCCTAACAGCGTGTTGCTCTCAGTGCCTGGGTGAGGGCAGGGTCATATTCTCCCTGTGAGGTCCTAGCAATGGGGTCCCTAAAGGGATGAGAGCCTTGGCTGGGAGAGGGGTTAAAACATTTGGCTTCTCCCTCCCCGCTGCCTGCCTCAACCCCAGCACCTGTCCCTCCCCAGTGCACACTGCGTGCACAAGCCACACTCCTGAGGACAGCATGCCCGGCTGCTACAGGGAGAAGAGCTGAGTCCCCTGGGTTCTATCCCCTGGACAGTCACTGCGCAAATCCTTCCCTGTGACAGGAGGGCCCAGTGCAGCCATGCAGCCAGCTCACACTGGTGCAGGGCAGGGCTGCCCAGTCCAGAGGTACTAGAGAAGAACAATGGCCCGTTGCAGCAGTGCTGGCGCCACAACTTACCCCTCGGTTGCTGGCATTTTCCTGAAGGAACCTGCGGAATTTGTTCAGGAAGATGTATCTGGAGGCTTCCCCCTGCCAGGAGAAAGAGCAGGCATGGTGCTTACCCAGCTGTGAGAATCCCCTGTGCTCTCCTCTCTGCTTTGGGACTCCGGCTCACCTGGCCCAAAATTCACCCCCAGAAGCTCCTTGAGAATCAAGTGCCACACAGGCCTCGGCATGACCCTCTGCACAAGGGCCAGTTTCACCTCTGGGGACATTTCAAGTCTTCCCGTGTTAGTTTGCATGCCCAATGCACTCCACTTCTCCCTCCCAGCTCCCCTTCTGGCCTGCACCGAGGCAGACCAAGCTATTCCCACTGTAGACATGCATCCCACACCACTGGCATGCATAGCAATGTCCTGAGAACAACACTTGGTCTCTCCTCTTGGAGCCAGTGACCTATGGACAGCCATGTTCTGTTGCCATTTGGACAGCGATTTAACCAGCACCGCTAAGTAACCTGGGAGTGAGTCTTAGCAGGGCCAGTGCCCACCCCACCTTCCTGCCAATATCAGCGCCTCCTGATGTGAGTGTGGGTTTGTCAGTAGGACCCCGCTGGGATCTGCCAGTGTGCCCAGTTAGTGTGAACACAGTATGCAGTGCACATGCGCAGGGGCTTTAAGAGGCCACATACCCACAGGGTGCGGGCTAACATTTCACTAGAATCCCAAAGAGGAAGGAAATTCAGAGCGAGGGAAGAGCTGAAGAGCTCTGGTTTCTGTGTTGGACACCAAGGGCCAAAGCAGGTGACTCTCAGAATGAGCAGATGCAGTTCAGAGATCCTCCCCTCCCCCTTAACACAGAGTCCAAGGCACAAGGAGCAATGCAGCCTGCTGCACAGATCAACACAGAGAGCTGCCCTCTCCAAGGCAGCCTTTCCACATTCAAGACTGGGGGGTGCTTGGTACTGCATGGCAGAGGTGTGGCACCCTGGCTCAAAGCCAGGTGCCCACACAGCCCTGGGGAAAGGCTGAGCAGCTCTGCCTTGAAAGCCCTGCAGTCCATGGATGCCACATTAGAGGGGCCCACGAGGTGTTTCCATTCTACTTACCCCTCCTCGGTCTTTGTTGTTCAGAAGCAGCTTCAGGATCTGAACCTGGAGTTCCTCCACCACTGAGAAAGGGACACACAAGTCAGCCATCAGAGGAAGTGCCCTGAGAGCTCGGAGCCCATTCACCCCCATACCATGGGCAGAGATTGCCTGAGACTGCTCCCCAGCAGTCAGGAAGGCATGCTCAGGCCAGCATGGGACCGTGTCCATGGCTGCTGGGCCCTCTCAGCCTGGCCCCCAGCTCCCACTGCGCGGCCATGGGAACGCTGAGCAGCTCGGCACACATGGGCCCACAACTGGCTCCTGGCTGCCAAGGGCACTTGAAGGCAGCTCAGATACCTGTCCTGTGACAGTGTGAGTGCATTTCACCACAGCTCTACAAGGCGCTGGTCCCCCAGCAGCAACCCCCTCACAGACCTTCAATGCGTTTTTTGAGCCGCTGGCAGCCTCTGTCGTATGCCCGCCGGCGCAGCCTCTCCTCGGCACTCTCCTCCTTTACCTCCTTGCTCTCTTTGCCCTGGGGTGAGCGGGTGGGAATTGGTTGACAATTAACCCCAGCCCAGGACAAGCACACCAAGCCCAGCACCACAGAGGGACAGCGGCCCTTCCCCACCAGGGAGAGCGACTGGCCTGACAACTGGCTGCCAAGCTAGGAGCCCTCCCTGCAGTGTCACAGGTCCCTCAGGGGACATGGGAGCCAGACAGGAGCCACACTGCCCAGAGCGACTCCCCTGCCACAGCGCCTGACCTCTGAGGGGTGGAGAGCAACTAGACAATCACACAGAATTGCAATGGCAACTTGGGAAGGAAGCCCTGCCCCCTACCCTCCTGCAAGGCATACCTGCCTGCACCGCGCAGCAGCACGCAACCCAGGTCAGACCGTGATGGATGGCAGTGGAGGGGCTGGGAGCTCTTGGCACACAGAGGACGCAGCACAGATCTGCCAGTTCTTATGTGAGCACAGCCTGGGGGTTTCCCCTGCCTACCCAGCCAGTGGGCTGCACCCCAAAGTGTCAAGGGGTCAGCGAGCGAACAGGGCTGCCACCCCCTGCAGTCCTCTCCAACGTTCTTCAGACACTGAACTAGGTGCCTACAAGCAGCTGCCAGCCCCACAGCTCAATGCTGCTGAGTCACACTGGGCTGGGAGAAGGAAGCAGTAGCTGCCTTGTTAGAGCCCTGCTTTTAGTGCCTTGTCCCCCAGAGTGACCCAGCTCTGTCTTCCCCCTGGTGCCCACGAAACACCAATCCTTCCCCAGGAGTCCCCAAGCCTCATCTCCCCCTGCACCCACTCTCAGGAACAGCCCCGAACCCAACCCCCCGCCCCCAACCCCTCACAGTACAAGATCCCTCAGGTCAACCCCAACCCCCAACACACACCTTCCTAAAAGCAATTCTCCATTCCCCAAACCAATTAAAGTCAGTCACTCAAGCCACCCCCCACCCCTGAAACCAACCAAAGTGGGAAGCAAGGAGGGGAGCCCCCAAGCCCTATTGGGAGCTCCATCTCCTGGGAGCCTCAGCTGCCCCTCCCCACTGAAGGCTCCAGGGCTCAGCTCCTGCTCTCTCCCTCCCCCCTTCCTGTCACTGGAGCTACAGCTTGAAGGCTGCTTCGCTCCTTTGCCCCGCCTGGAAACAAAATAAGGAGCTATCAGGGAGTTTTTCAACACACCCCTCCACTCCCTGGCCTCGGCCCCCCAGGTGCCCCACGCACAACACTAGTTAATCTCTCTCTCTCCAGCTCAAGGTGCTTTTGACACATCATCCACATATCAGACTCATCCAAGCCCACCCCACTTCACCCCAGCAGACAGACACCCCACCCAGCTTGTCCCCAGCAGCTGGGGACAGCAGCCAGCAGCTCAGTCACTGTGAGCTATTTTAACCTCCATAGAGAACGCCCTGCCAGCATCCCACTGGGGCTCCTGTTCAAGAGCCTCTGTCAATCGCAGCTGCACGCCAGGCAGAGAGAGAGAGCTCTCGGAGCTAACAGTCCCCAGGCCCTACATGGAAGCCAGTCAGCAATCAGTGTAGCTCCTTGGCACAGGGTCACAGCAAGGTACTCACTGCCCTTCACCCCAGAGACAACAGGGGCTAGTGGGCAGTGCTGGATCTTCCTGCCCAAACCTCCCCCTCCTCCTGCACATCACTTAGGCCCGTAACCAAGTCGCTCGCTGACTCCACCCTCTCACTGGACTCTGCATTCAGGCCGTGTGCAAGCCCTGATGCTTCCTCTCCACCCTCAGCCACACCCAGGGTATTGCTCCTTGGTGCTGCCACCTCCTCCTGGCCGGCTCTGGCACCTCACTCCCCTGGGCTCCACGCAGAGCAGGCAGCTCAGTCACCTTCCCAGCTCACTGCTCTGCCCCCTCAGCCCTTCTGAGCCCTGCACGCCTCATTCACCTCCGCATCCGACACAGCACACCACCTCCCTAGCAGTGTACAGGGGCATCAACCTGCCTCCACCCATCAACATCCCCAGACTTCATCACCCATCTGTCAGCTCCTCCCACGCCTCACAGAGACCCCAGAAGAGCCCAGCCAGCCACTGCTTTTACCCCCTCAAAACCACACCTTCTGTGTCTCCATCCCGCTGTGGTGCTGCAAGAACCGGCCTAGGGGTGCCACTCTGTAGGGGTTGTGCTGTGACTCTCCCTCGCTCCCCTCCCCCCAACCTGGTTAGATCTTTCAAATAAAAGGCCCAACTACAAACTGGACCATCCCTACCATGCCCAAGTGACTCAGGCAACTCCCAGCCCCAGCACCTGGCTCATCTGTGCCTGGCAGACTGAGCTCTCCAGACAGGGACCGTGTCTGTACAGTGCTGGCAAAATGGGCCCCAGAAGGGCCCTGAGGTGCTGCCAGAACGTAACTCTCAATAACAGTTGAACAACCTGGGACCCAGAAACTGGGTTCTATCCCCCAGGTCTGCCATGCTGTCACTAGGCCAGTCCCTGGCTCTGTCAAATGGGAGGATACCAACCTTCAGTGTCAAGTGCTCTGATCCATGGAGGAGGATGTCTACCCATCATTCTGACTCTGCACCCTTGGACACCACACTCCAGCAGTCTGGTCTGGAGGGGACAGAGGTCCCCACATAGAAAGAAATGGCCACAACCTCCTGATCAAACACGGCTGAAAACCCATCCCGGTCAGCACAGCTACCTGGCTATCTAACCCAGCCTCAAAGCACAAGCGTGTCCCAGAAGGAAGCAGCTATGCCTTTCCCAGCCTGCCACCATCACGCCTGGCATGTTGTTGCACACCTCTTTGGTGAAGCGGTTTGGCCACCAGGTAGTGGGGATGAGCTCCTGCAGGCCAGCCTCCTCCACACGCAGGGGGCTCTTGATGTAGAAGAATACCACCGAGCGGAGCACGTCAAAGCTGTGCAGGAGTTAAGGGACAAGCCCAGCAGCTCAGCTGGGAGCACACACAGGAGGTCAGCCATACAAAGAGCCACAGGGGAGGGAAAAGAAACCCCACCGCTAAGATGGGGTTAGAGGTTAGGCACCTTTCCAAACAAACTCTTGAATCCATCTTCATGAGGTGCTTGGAAACTGGGGGGATCCCACCAAAACGGACAGGCTGGGTGCCTGGGGGGGCTGATTGCTGTGAAAGCTGCTTTGGTGAATTCTCTGTTGTTTCACTCCATGAGTCAGCCAAGGGATATGGAGTGAGGGATTTGCACAGAGAAGCTGGGCACAGAACAGGAGAAAGAACCCAACAGGATGCAGCACAGTCTAGGGAGTTCCCCTCCCTTCTTCAAAAGGGAGGTTCCATGGAGAATGGTACCAGCCATTCCTGCAGATACAAGAGGCCCCCAGAACATGGGGCACCCAGGGAGAGAAAACTGACTGCATCTTCTAAGGGGTATGTCGGAATGGGAGTAAATGCAAAGGATACAGGACATTATTGAGCAGATATTTCCTGGACTTCTCGTGCTTCAGGACTGCAATGGTGAGCCGGAGGTAGTGGATCTGGGGAGAGAGGTAGAACAGAGTCAACAGGAAAAGCTATATCTCAGGGAAGCGACCAGGGTTCAGTTACCAATACAAGTACAGCCGGAACAAAGAGCTGCCATGTTTCAAGTCAGCAATTCAAGAGACAGACTGACAGCTCTCTTGAGTCTATTTGGCTTAACAGAGACACGGTTCAGGGATGACTTGGGAAACATATTTAACAATATGTTCTTCAATCTAGACACGAAAGGTAAGATCTAGTGACTGGAAGTTGAAGCTAGATAAATTCAGACCGGAAATAAAGAGTAAATTTTTAACATTGAGGGTAATTACCATTGGAACAATTTACCAAGGGCCGTGCTGGATTTTCTATCACTGGCAATTTTTGAATCAAAAGGGGAAGTTACTTACCTGTAACGGGAGGTTTTTTGAGATGGATGGTCCCTGTCTGTATTCCACTGAGGGCAATGCGCATCTCGAAGAACCCCCAGTTACAAGTAACCTCCCATTCTTCAAGTATTGGTCCCTACTGTATTCAACTGAGGGGGATTAACAAGCAGTATGTAGGTAGGAGGAGGGTGCAAGGAAGATAATGGAATTGTTGAATGGAGGGCCGCCATGCCGAAAGAAGCATCCGTCGCAGAATCATGTACTATGGCAGACAGAGAAGAAAAGGCGGGTACCAAACTCCACATGACTGCCTTACATATATCTGTGACGGGGCACGTCTTGGAGCGCTGCAGCACCTAATGCCTGCACTCTTGTGAAATGGGCCCCATCCCACCCGCTGGGGACCGTCCCAATAATTGATAAGAGAGCGTAATGCACCCTGAGACCCACTTCGAGAGTCTCTGGCACGACACAGCCTCCTCTTCAATTCTCTCTGATATGGCACCAAATAGTCTGGGAGACTTCTGGAATGGCTTTGTCCTTCGCAGGTAAATGGCCAGGGCCCTACGTAAATTGAGGGAGTGGAGTCGTCATTCTGCACTGGAGGCGTGTGGTTTGGTTGAGGTGGATATGGAAAACCAGCCTTGGTAGGAACCTGAAATGCAGGCACAGCGAGACCTTGTCCTTATGGAATGTGCTGAAAGTGGGGTTTGCCAGCATAGCCCCGCACCCCAATTCATTAACCCTCCTTGCAGAGATAATGGTGATCAGAAAGACAACTTCCATAAAAAGAAGAGAAAGGGGGCAGGAGGCCAAAGGTTCAAAGAGGAAGTTCATTAATGATGGGAGGACTAAATTGAGGAGCAACAGCCTGGATGGGTGGGTATTTGCATACAAGGCCCTTCCAGAACCTGGCAGTTAAGGGGTGGGTGAAGACAGAATGTCCATCCATGGGAGGGTAGAAGGCACTAATGGCTGCTACATGCATTTTGATGGACTTGAGAATGAGCACCGAGGTCTTTAGAGAGAGCAGATAGTCTAATAGCATGAGGATGCCCATAGACTCTGGTGCAAGACCTCTATGTTGGGCCCAGGTAATGAAACGAGCCCATTTGGCCTGATAGGACTGCCTTGTGGACTCCTTTCTGCTATTGGACAGAATTTCTCAGACTGCCTGCAAGCATTTCTGTGTTACCGGAGACATCCATCCAAATACCATGCTGTCAGGTGGAGTGCCCTCGGATCAGGGTGTCTGAGTCTGCAGTTGTGTTGTGTGAGTAGTTGCAGGAATATTGGGAGTGGGAGTGCTGGACACTTTGACATGCGGAGAAGACGAGGAAACCAGAACTGGTGAGGCCAATATGGGGTGATCAGGATGACCATCACCCCCTCCCGTCTGAGACTGTGTAGAATGCGTGGCAGGAGCAACAATGGAAGGAAGGCATAGTTGATCTGGTCTGACCAGTTGATGATCAGGGTGTCCTCCTGCAGGTGGGTGCCGAGTCCTCCCCTCGAACAATACTGAATGCACTTGGTATTGGTGTGAGATGCAAAGAGGTCTCTGACGGGTTCCCCAGTGGCCAAAGATGTCTGTGACTATCACATTGTATAAACTCCCATTCGTGGTCAGTCGCAAAGTTCCTGCTGAGAGCATTGGCAAGTACATTCTGGGTTCCTGGTAGATAGGCTGCCAACAGGAGCATATGATGTGAAATGCATCATTTCCAGAGGCTTACACACACAGTGCTGGGGATGGTGCGCCTCCTTGCTTGTTTATGTAGTAAACCTCAGTGGCGTTGTCTGATATAAGAACAGATAGCTGTTAAGGACACGTGGGATGCCTTGTGTACCATACAAAGTTCCAAGATGTTGATGTGCACCCTGGTTTCCTGAACAGTCCAAGTGCCTTGCGTCATGTGGTATCCCATGTGGGCACCCCAGCCTTCGAGCGACACATCTGTTATAATTGTAACGCTTGGCAAGGACAGAAGAAAGAGCATTCTGGAGCAAACATGGAATGGGTTTGTCCACCATCAGAGGGAAGAGAGCACTTCCAGTGGAACTGTGAGGGTGGTATCCCTGGACTGGTGCATGGGGGAGTAGACTCCCTGTAGCCAGAGCTGGAGACAGCGGAACCACAGATGAGTGAAGGGAATGACATATGTGTACACTGCCATCTGACGGAGGAATCATAGAATATAAGGGTTGGAAGGGACCCCAGAAGGTCATCTAGTCCAACCCCCTGCTCGAAGCAGGACCAAATCCCAGTTAAATCATCTCAGCCAGGGCTTTGTCAAGCCTGACCTTAAAAACCTCTAAGGAAGGAGATTCTACCACCTCCCTAGGTAACGCATTCCAGTGTTTCACCACCCTCTTAGTGAAAAAGTTTTTCCTAATATCCAATCTAAACCTCCCCCACTGCAACTTGAGACCATTACTCCTCGTTCTGTCATCTGCTACCATTGAGAACAGTCTAGAGCCATCCTCTTTGGAACCCCCTTTCAGGTAGTTGAAAGCAGCTATCAAATCCCCCTTCATTCTTCTCTTCTGCAGGCTAAACAATCCCAGCTCCCTCAGCCTCTCCTCATAAGTCATGTGTTCCAGACCCCTAATCATTTTTGTTGCCCTTCGCTGGACTCTCTCCAATTTATCCACATCCTTCTTGAAGTGTGGGGCCCAAAACTGGACACAGTACTCCAGATGAGGCCTCACCAATGTCGAATAGAGGGGAACGATCACGTCCCTCGATCTGCTCGCTATGCCCCTACTTATACATCCCAAAATGCCATTGGCCTTCTTGGCAACAAGGGCACACTGCTGACTCAGATCCAGCTTCTCGTCCACTGTCACCCCTAGGTCCTTTTCCGCAGAACTGCTGCCTAGCCATTCGGTCCCTAGTCTGTAGCTGTGCATTGGGTTCTTCCGTCCTAAGTGCAGGACCCTGCACTTATCCTTATTGAACCTCATCAGATTTCTTCTGGCCCAATCCTCCAATTTGTCTAGGTCCTTCTGTATCCTATCCCTCCCCTCCAGCGTATCTACCACTCCTCCCAGTTTAGTATCATCCGCAAATTTGCTGAGAGTGCAATCCACACCATCCTCCAGATCATTTATGAAGATATTGAACAAAACCGGCCCCAGGACCGACCCTTGGGGCACTCCACTTGATACCGGCTGCCAACTAGACATGGAACCATTGATAACTACCCGTTGAGCCTGACAATCTAGCCAGCTTTCTACCCACCTTATAGTGCATTCTTCCAGGGATATGGCCATGAGCACAGGATCATGCTAAATTCCAAGTGTGATGTTGCACTCCGTATGTTATATGGAAATATGTGAATATGATGTAACTGGAATATGCTTTATGCAAAAGGAGGGAAAGGCAAGTTCTGGCTGATATCGAAGGGCTGGAGGTCACTAAGGTGATCAGGTTCAGTAAGCCCAGGAACCTGCCTTTAGGCAGATAAGCACATGCGGAGGTCACATCGATGCGTGATCCTATGAATTCTAGGGACTGTTGATTTTTCGACGTGGATGCTCACTTCTAGGGAGGAGAAGCTGGGACACTGATGCTCTAGTTTCTGTTCTGAACCTCCCCGTCAGCAGCCAATTGTCTAGGTAAGGGAAGACAAGGATTCCTCGTGGTCAGAGGTAAGCTGCTAACACAGAGAAAACCTTTCTGAAGACTCAGGAGGAAATGATAAGTCCAAATGGGCAAACTCTATGGTAAATGGTAAATTAACCATTTACAACCAATTGTCTAGGTCAATGGGAGCCATCAAGATTCTAAACCACCATTAATGGCCCACACTTTGCATAATTACAATAGGACCTCAGTTATACTTCATATTTCTAGTTTCAGATACAAGAATGATACATGCATACAAATAGGAGGAATATATTAAGTAGTTTATAACCTTTGTTATACCTTACAAGAGACTTTTGCATAAAGCATATTCCAGTTACATCATATTCACATATTTCCATATAACATACGGAGTGCAACATCACACTTGGAATTTAGCATGATCCTGTGCTCATGGCCATATCCATGCTTGGGCCACACCATGGGCGCATTCAGCCTACAGCATGGACAAGCCCCTGTCCAGAGAAAGAAGCAGCACAGCCCTGGCAGGCAAAACACCCTCTCCCCCTTCTAATCAATGAAGGACAGGATGGAATGGGTTACCTAGGGAAATGGTAGAATCTCCATCCTTAGAGGTTTTTAAGGCCCGGCTTGACAAAGCCCTGGCTGGGATTATTTAGTTGGTGTTGGTCCTGCTTTGAGCAGGGGGTTGGACTAGATGACCTCCTGAAGTCTCTTCCAACCCTAATCTTCCATGTGTCTATGGTGATACAGGAGAATCCTCCCATGCCAAACAAGACAGTTCCTAAGGCAAATATTGGGGCCACAAGCCCCTATATGGCCAACCTGGTTAATCCTGGGTACCACCACTGCAACATCAGGGAGTCGGGTACCAGTGGCTCCTGGACTGAGGTAAGCGAGGGAATTGTCACAGTCCCATCTGTAGCCAATGATTTTATTTGATTGTGTGCTGTGTGATGTTAGGATTATAGAAGTATAAGATTGATCAGTAGTTAGAAGGGATAAATATGTATTAGGT